TAAGTAGTTCAGTTACAAAGTTAATGTTTTTGTTTTCGGTAGTTTGTAACGTAACTGCATGCACCCTTTTTAGTTCTATTTCAGGCATCTTTATCGTGTCATGTGTTTCAGGAATGGTTTCACTGTTAAGCCATTCAGGTCCATTAAACCACAGAGGAAAGTTGTGCAACTGAGACGGCAGTAGTCCACGTGACGCACAGTCAGCCGGGTTTTGTTCCGATCTCACGTGCTTCCAACTCCCTGCGGGCACTACAGATATGATCTCTTGAACTCTGTGTCCGACGTAGGCTTTCCATCGCGAGACATCTCCCTTTAGCCAGCCAAGTACGATCATCGAGTCCGTCCAAGCTGTTACTTTAATGTTAGGCTTATCAAAGCAAAGTTTTATTTTATTTACCAGTTGAGCTAACAGGTGAGCGCCGCATAACTCAAGTCTGGGGAGTGTTTGATGTTTTTGTATTGGAGCGACCTTTGTTTTTGCCGCAACCAATGCAATCTGTTGCTGTTTTCCTTCAGTAATCTTACTGTATACTACGCACGAGAACGCTTTTTCTGATGCGTCACAAAATGCGTGTAATTCACAATTCTTGTTCGCTCTTAATCCAAGCCATCGGTTAATTTTGAAAGGTTGCATGTTTGTTAATTCTGTTTTTAATGTTCTCCATTCCTTTTCTATTTCATCTGGAACAGTATCATCCCATTCGATTTTGTACTTCCAGATCTGTTGGAATAAGATTTTTGCCTTGATTGTAATTGGCGATAATAACCCCAATGGATCAAAAATTGTTGATATGTCGCTTAAGATTTGCCGTTTGGACGACTTGTTGTTGGTTTCCGACTCGGTTTTGTTTTTTAGTGTGGTTGAAAATATAAATTCATCTTGTTTCGGATTCCATGCCAAGCCTAATGTTTTAGACGCTGATGCCTCAGTAAAGGTTAAACTGACTGGACTAATCATATGTTCTGGCAGATCTTCTAGCAGTTGACGTTCGTTACTCGACCATTTTCTGAGATTGAACCCTCCTTCCTTTAATAACTGTATAAGTTGGTCTCTTGTATCTCGGACCTCGTCCATGGTATCCTTTCCGAATAACGCATCATCTACAAAAAATTGGTTGAGTAGGATGTTTTTAGCCTCCGGGTACCTGTCACCTTCGTCCTTTGCTAGCTGTTGAAGTGTTCGGAGTGCTAAGAATGGAGCGGCCTTGGTACCATAGGTAACTGTACATAGTTGATATTCTCTTAGCAGTTGCTGTGGACAATCCCTCCACACTATTTTCTGTAGAGGTTGATGTTCTGGATGCACCATTATAAATCGATACATTTTTTCAATGTCTGATGTTAAGACATATTTGTATTGTCTCCATTTCAGCAAGATACTAAAAATATCTTTTTGTAGGTTCGGTCCTGCCTCCATTAAGTCATTAAGACTGCGTTTTGAACTTGTTTTCGCCGATGCATTGAACACAACTCTAAGTTTCGTTGTGATAGCACCTGGCCGCACTACCCCATGGTGTGGAAGATAATATTCCATGTTGTTGTTCTCAGTGTTGTTTACGACTTTCTCCATGTGACCCATTTCTTCATATTCTTCCATAAAGGCCTTATAATTCTTTGCAAACGCACAGTTTTTAACCATCCTTCGCTCTAGCTGTTGAAATTGAGCGATGGCCTGTGGTTTCGATGTTCCTAATTGTTCAATAAAATTGTCCTTGAGGGGGAGACGAACTTGGTATCGTCCATCAGGAAGTCGCGTTGTTGTCTCTTTGTACAGCTGTTCGCACTTGTTGTCTGGGTCGAAATCTTCTTTCTCTTCTTGCAAAGACTCCTGTTCCCAGAATTGGGCAAGATCCTGAATGTTGTTGACAATTACATGGCAATTAAATGTTTTGTAATTACCACATACTATCCAGCCTAAATGTGTTTGTTGTGCTATAACGGATGACGTGTTTGTTTTTAGTAGCCCCTCTAACAATATTTCAGAATATACCTCTGCTCCCAATAGTAAATCTATATTCTGAGATATGTTAAAATCTGGATCAGCGAGTTGCAAATGTTGTAAATGTTCAAAACTATCTTTATTTATTGTCTTACTTGGCAGTTTGTTTGTTATTTTCTTCATAATAAACGCATTAATGTTAATGTTAAAATTGTTGTATATCGCTTGGCATTTGAGATGGAGCACTCCTTTACAGTTGGTGGTGGCTGAAGCACCAACACCTGACACCACCGCGCTCATCCTTTCCCGTTTTAACTGCAATTTTTGTGCAGCATTTTCTGTAATGATGCTGACCTGAGAGCCCTGGTCCAATAAAGCGCGTAAAATGACAATAGTTCCGTCATTGGCTATTGTCTTGACCTGGGCAGTGGCTAGTAATACCTCATTCGAGTTGTCATGAGCTAAATGCGTGTTTACTTGTTGACCTACATTAACTCTGTTAGTTTTCGATTTCGCAAGTCCAATCGCGTCATGTAAAATGCTGCTATGCGACTCATCGCAGTGCTTGCACCTTTTTTCCGACGTGCATTTTTCGCCGTTATGACTAAACAGGCAATTTAGACATACATGTAGGTTGTTAGCGGTTTTTAACCTTTCGTCTGGTGACATACTTAAAAATTCTCTGCAATTATAGAGACCGTGTTGCTTATTACATTTAGGACAAGTTATAAAAGAATGATGAGATGTTTGTTTGTTGTGGTATGTTCTCGGCATGTTCTTAGCTCCACCTGGACTGGTCTGTTGCTGCGCTTTAGGCTTGCTGTATGTTGCATTATGTACTGTTTTCGGCTGAGTGTTTTGCTGTTGACTGTTAGAGTTCCGCGGGCGGTTCGGATTTGCACCCGATTCCATTGACATAAACTTTGTTTCGATGAATTTCAGTAACTCGTTTAATGATGGCATTTCCTTTGGTTTTTCCATGGATTCTTTGAAGGACTGGCATGTGTCTGCGTCTAGCTTTTGCATTAAAATGTGAACCACTAAAGGATCCCAACTGGAAGTATCATATTTCAGGTTCTGAATAGCCTGAAGGCACTCAATGGTTGTGTCATGCATTCTTTTCAGTAGTGATGCCGTTGGGGTTTGTATGCTGGGTAGACTCAGTAACATGTTGGCTTGGTAGGTAAATAACAGTCTCTTATTGTCGTACCTCTGCTGAAGAATCCGCCAACTGGCTTCGTAGTTGTCAGCACTAATGTTCATGTGCTGTATTAATCGCTCGGGCTCTCCCTTTAACTTTGCCTTTAAATGTTGCATTTTTTGAGCGTTAGAAATAAAAGTGTTACGATGCACGATTTCCACGAACAAGTCTTTAAATGTTGTCCACTGGGCATAGCTGCCACTGAAAATCGGTAGTTCAATTTGAGGCGTGGATTTTTCCTGGTGTTTGTTCTCCCAAATCTTCTTGTTAATTTGTTCCTTACTGAATTCATACAGCCTTTCTAGTCTGTTATAATCACTTTCAAATGCTTGCATGTTGACTAATATGTTATCCAGCTTCCAATACGTCGTATCGACTTTTTCCCAACGTTGCGTAACTGACCTCAATTTATCTTCAAGTTGCCACTTTTCTTTCAAATTTTCAATGTCCATGTTACGTATTGTTCGCTCAAACGCCTTGATGTTTGACCGCTGCTCATTTAACATATCTTTAGTCCGTTGATCAACGACTAACTCTTCATTTGACGTCGTGTTCTTCACATCATATGTGACCTCTTCTCGTTCCCGTTGTTCTTTAACCACCTCTTGAGCACTCGACCTTTCTTCTTGTTGTTGCAACTGAGTAAACGAAGTAAATTTATCGTCTTCGATTTTCGCCAATAATCTTTGTTTCGACTTATTTATCATACTCTTCGTCTCTTCGTATATTTGTTCCAAGCGCTCGTAAACGCGATTCTCATAATAAGGTCCAGACTTCTTGCCTTCAAATAAGGCTAATTGGATGTCGTTGTTTTTAAAGTCACTCCAATACTCCTCCAGCTTCTGAAGTCTTTCATCGTGATACTCAAGAGTGGTTTTTCGTGTAGGACTATCTGTCTTAAAGTTTTCATTTATACGTTTAATAGCGTTAAGATTGTCCGATTGAGAGTCAAGTAAAGCATCGTAAGAAGACATTGTTGTTTCGCGGTTCACAAATCCAAAATTTTAGAAATTTAGGTAATATGGAACGTGCTCACCGGATTCGCTGCTTACTGCCTGCTGCTTATACTTCACCTCGTTCTGTGTACTCTCACTGATTATCACTGATCACACTGTTTGTAATGTTCTGTTGAATGTTCTGATTAATGTCTGAGTTTAATGTTCAAATGTTCCCGCGAGTGAAACCGTACCACGGCACTGATTTTACACTTAACGGCTCGAAGGACCAAAATGTAAGGGCTTGAACCCTTACAGTTAATGTTGGATGTTAATAAAATAAATGTTAATGTTTAAAAAGGTATTTTAATACGAAAATGCACTAAAATAAAAAGAAATTAATTAAAAATGTTATAAAAAATGTTAAAATGTTAAATGTTGCGCGAGCTCGATATTATACCGAAGACTGGCCTACTTGAGTACGTGACTATCTTATATTTTATTATAAATTAACATAATTTGCAGTATTCTAACTAGGCCAAATCAAAGTACAATGTGCGGTTGCTTAACCGTACACACAACTTCTTCAGCTTCAATTGGTTTCTGAACATAGTACGAACCCTTCGATTTATCAAATGAATTACGAACGAAACGTTAAATAAATAAGTATTAAGTAGTTGAATTTATTCGAAGGGTGCATAATGAGCGCAGAAGTCAAAAATTGAAGCGAGACAGATGGTTGTTCCACCCGCATGATGAATAAATACTCGTTACTTGTAGCAGCACTGATGAAGCGTCCGAGGCCGCCACTCCTCGCCCAGGGCGCGAGCGCAGGGCGGGGAGTGACGTCACTAGCGCTCCAAGAGTGCGGCGGTGTAAGCGTGCCGCGTCTACGCATGCCTGGTCACAACAGTTCGAGACTGACCTTCATCGCTGTTACCGTTAGTGAGCGGTTCTTCACCGTTCTTTTCACCATTCTTTTCACCGTTCTTTTCCCCGTTCTTCTCACCGTTCTCAGCTGGCTTCTTCTCATCCTCCTTGGCGTCCTTGTCCTTCTTGTCCTCAGAGCTCTCTTTGGCTGGTTTCTTCTCCTTGCCGGACTTGCCCTTGGCCGGGGTGGCTGGTTTAGGCTTTGGCTCCAGTGACGGATCCAGTACTAGCTTGCCGATGTTTTTGCGGTCGTGCATCTTCTGCATGGCTTCACCAACCTGGTTGTAGAAAACGAGATTTTGAATTAAGTAGCTATTACGTTTTTTAAATTCTGATCTATCAATTAATTCCTATGAATGGGAAAATATATACTAAATATAATACGTACATCCTCGAGCGCCCAGGTGGAGTCGACGAGCGGCTTGACCTTGCCCTCTCCCCAGAGCGCAAAGACGCGCTCGACGGCGCGGCGCACGTACTCGGCGCGTCCGTGTTGGAACAGTAGGTGCCGCAGGTTGAGACCCGCCAGGCTCTTGTTCTCGTCGAACAACTTGATCGGAGACACCTTGTCCACTTGCCACCACTGGAACAAAAACCAATTTTCATTATGTTTTTACTACTTTACTTTTTTACTTAATTCAAGATAGGTTCAATCTATTTCAAAGACTAACTTCCAATTTATTCTATGATTTTAAAACATAGGTAACTACGGAGATAAGTGTATGAGCGCGTAATGTAACCAACTTACATATTCAGCTAAACGAAGAACTTATGAATGTAGAAAGCTTTTAAATGAAGTAACTAGCGCCACTCTCATGTCAACGGTAAGGTTCGCAATAGTGATAATTAATGATTGAATACTCACGGCACGTGCAGCACTGAAGAAGCTCTTCGTCTCACCGGTCACGATGTTAGATGATCCTGCGATACAAACCATTGTTTACTAACACTTAACAAACATGAACTGAATAAAATATTATGTTCACTATTTAAACATTAAATAATTATATCCTTAGAATAATTATTCTAAGCTAATACCAAATAGAGAGATATTAGAAAGATCAATTTGCTTGGGCTTAAATAGGTATATCATCATACTAATATTATAAAGAGGTAAAAATTTTAAGTTTGTATCTAGGTATGTAGGGCGTAATCTTTAAAACCAGGTTTCCAAAATTCTTTCACTGAGCTATAATATTCCAGAAGGCTATATAAAACATCACCCTTAGACTAATAGAAGTCGAGCAGAAACCACATTTCAGTAGCTAGTAATCAATATTTTCATTTTCCTGTATCACAAACTTTCGCCAATCAATATGCTTATTGGAAACTATAAAAACCTCCTTTGTGAATACATACCGTACAAGATGTACCGTCCCATCGGTTTCAGGAGCTGGTAACCGCGGTTGCATTCCTCGCCACAAAGGCAGTCCAGCACGATATCCACACCATCGGCAGACACCCTGACAATGTTACATAACTTTATTAGACACTAGCTAACATCTGGAGGTAGCCGCAAAAGTTCCAAACATGTATGTAAATATTCAGTTCTTATTGTAATTCAAATATCGAACTCTGATGTGAACAATTTGTTGGTTGTTTAATACACCTTACTTATCCTAATAACCTAACCTGCCTATTGGATTTTTGTCTTTGTTTTTCTCATTCTCATGTGAATTAAATCTTAGGATTACCCACATAAACAAAGAAATAGTATCTATGTACGTTGTAATCCTACATGTCATTGTTACAACACTTTATAAATACTGTAAATCAATATTTTAGTAAGAGCATGTCTACGCGAAGTAGATAACTGACTATTTATTTACACTAAACTTGTGTGGCTCGCTTGTTTACGCTATAAAGTGCTCAACAGATATAAAAATATCTTTGTCTATTTACGAGAATTAAATGACGCGCTTGTTACGAAGCAGCTGCCCTAAGGAGCGGGTTATAAACCGAACAATTAACGTGAGACCCAGCCAACTTAAGCAGACCCCGCTGCAGTTATTATGTGCTCACTTTTGAACTGTTAATAAAAGCTCTAGGGGGGTGGGAGAGGTCTTTATAAACTGGCAGTGAGCGTATCACACGAGGAGGACTCGCGCTGAAATATGTAACTGTAATAGGCGCCAATTAACTAAGCATGGGATTGGGAACAATACTTTAGCTTTGAGAGATCGCTCAATGATACAACTGAACATTTTTAAATGATGAACAAGATGAAAGAACTGTCCAGCTGTCGGAATCCGGAAGAGATTCATACGTAACATCACCATAAAGTGAATTGACAAACCACCTTGTTACTAATAAAAATTTATCGTGACAATAATAGTTATACACCGGCATAAAAATCCTCGCATACCAAACATTGAAGGCGTAATGTAAACAAAGGTATTATTAGGAAGATGAAGGGCCGCGGAACGATATATTTTTAGCTCAGTGATATCACGATACCCTCCCTTCATTTTTAGAATTCTTCATGATTGTTGAACGAATTAAATTGTTCATTGTGATTCATTTCATATCGCCACCAAAATTAACACTTAGTTTATGACATATTGTTTCGAGAATTGGAGTTTATCAAGAGATTTAACAAGATTACTTAAAATATGCGTAGGCAACGTGTATAGTCTGAGAAAGACTGATAGCTCGTTAAGACGAATTAGATAGGGCGGTATCGTTTAGTTTTTTTTACTTTGGCACGTGTTCAAAGTATAATGAAACTCATTCAAATATTGATGATCTCACCGAATTCTCGATATGAACTTCCAAATTCACTAGTTTATTACGTAGGTACACGCGTAAAATTGCGAACGGATTGCGAAATTGGAACACAAGGACGAATAAGCAAGTACCTACAACAATGTACCTAAGTAAGAACTCGTTTTATTTAGGGCTGATTTTTAATGGTCAGATTAAAATTATCTGGGGAATAATTATGATACTGTCACGTCAGAATATTAATATTAGACAGTGACAGCAACATTTTTATTCCTCAGATAACATTTATCTGACTATTGAAAAATCAGCCCTGAGTGAAATAGATAGGTACCTAAAATTCTAATTCTAATTTTGAAAATGTACGATTCTTATGCTTTTGTTTGCCGCCTTGAAAGATGGCTTTCATAGGTAATAAATGGAAAATACGAGTAGTTAACAAACAAACAGTTTCCCACATTTAAATCATTCGTAATTTTAAAAAGTAACGAAATAAGGATGATACGTTTGAGCCTGTTTTGTTCGAGACTTGGCTGGGACTCTGCCGTGCCCCCAGATCTACACCTATCTATATTTAGTTTCATCAATAATAACAAAAAAGTCATCCTTCTACACTCTACAGTGTGGTCAAAAAAGATTTCATGGATTACTTACTTGGATGATATTATATCTAAAAGTAAGAAAGAATATTATTCGCGTAGAAATAAAAGAGTGGGCGTAATCGACCCTTGAAGGGTTCGGTACATTAGACAACCCTAAATTGATAATAGTAATAGTAATCTTATAATCCTAATGCGCAAGTTGGAGGGTAGCGCTATAAAATGTATCTTTATATCCAATACGAAGTAGGTAAGAACAGGTAGATGAGTATCTATACTTTTACTGAAAGTGGGTAATACTAAGATTTTCAGCCTGCAAGCAAACGTTTGTTTCAAAAGGATTTTTGAAAAAAGAATGCGTATTCGAATGTTTGACCAAACCACTCTGTCTGTATTCAACCAAAATATTACTACCAACAATGATTTATGGCAGGTCAGATTAAAACCTCTTTTATAGAAAAAAAATCCAACAATATTAATTCCTAAAATAAAAGTTTCGACTTACTTCCTGACTTCGCTGGTGTAGTCGCTGCCGCGCTCCAGAAGATGGTCGATGTTGTTGTTATTAGCTTTCAAAGCTTCATGCTTGGATTTCGAGCAGACACCGAACACCGTCACATTCTCCACAGTCTTCGCCAACTGAGCTACTGCTTGGCCCTATAATGTTACAGGATGTTAAATTAGATAACCACATGACGGTAAGTTTAAAGGGAGGAGACAAAATAATCACGTCTTTCGAATTGTGTGCGGGTCAAGCGAAAAAGGTACAGAGGCCTTGGCCTGGAGCAGGAGCAGAAATGACACTCCCAATGCTATACCCTGGGAGAAGTCATTTGATGATTTTCTCTCCACAAAAAAGTATCTATGTGATAACATTGTGACACCTACTAAACTACAAGCGAATAGTTAGATCACTTCTATTAACTGAAGCCTAACATTTAAATATTAATTAATATTATTAAAAGTGAGTAACCTACAAACTGTTAAAAAGCACTCAGATAGAATGACAGTAAAACAATATGTCCGTTTACCATCAAATTTTCATGAATAGTTAGCATAGACGTAAGTTGTTTGCCTCTAAATTGGTTTCCCCTGTTAATAAACGTCAGCTAATTGGTATTGTCACCCCGCCCAGCGAGCAAGCTTCCGAGTTACCGGTCACTGACACGCGAGGGTGGTCACGTCATGTCGGATCGTAGAAACAAAAATTCCAGAGCAAACACATATTTCAAGTATTTAGAGCAACAATTAGGCATCTCGTTAGTATGTTTGCTCAGTTATTATGAAGCATGCGAGAGCGAAGCGTGCTATACGCTGTGTGCTCCTGTCTCCGCCTGCCTGCTCTGACCGCGCGAGGGTCAATGCTACCACGAGTATTTTCGATTTCATTTCGGCTCTGTCAACCTTTGAATAAATTTAATTTTAGCATTTTGAATTCATGAATTTTGATCTGACTCAGAAAACTCAGCTCGATAAAAACAACTTGTTTTTTACGTAAACTTGACAAAAACAATTTGTACTTTCATTTTTCTGAAGTAATCTCGGATGACTGACAGATAAAAAAATACAGTTAGTCATCTTTGTTTTTTGCGTTACATTACTTTGTAATCTGATGCAGTAAAATCAGTTGTTAGTCAACTACAACAGACAGTTCGTGTTCGACGAATTTTATACATATAAACTTTATTTTTAATTTTATTGCCGCAGTCGTAAAAACATTAAGAAGTATGAAAATAAATATTTCCGTGTAACAATAACTTACCACGCCGCCTCCTGCAGAGTGAACCAGCAGGCTCTTGCCAGGAGTCAGATTAGCCATCTCGAAGAGAAGCAAGTAGGCTACCACGTAATTGGTGGTCACGGCTACGGCGTCCAAAGCAGTCATGCCTTCAGGCAGAGCGTACACATACTGTGCGGGCACGGAGACCAGCTCAGCCCAGGCCCTGTACTCCGGAAGAGCCACGACTTGGTCGCCAACCTGTTCACAAAAATACACTAATTTGAGATGGGCCCAGAACGTTCCCTTGAGGAACCCTAGTATATCAAATAATCGGACAGTAATTCCAATATCATAAACTAGCTACAAACTTGAATTAATAAATTAACAAAACAAGCCAATATGTCTACCGCCACCCATAACACTAAATCTTACACTGATAGTAACAATATTTCACTTTCCGTAAAACAATCAGACGTGTTTATGGAATCCTATACAAGATTATTGATGGCTATACGTAACAATGAGATTAGCTTCACACTAGAAAAGAAAAATTTCACAAAAACTATACAGCGTTAATTCGAATTATACTTAAAATTATGGCCTCTATCCACATCCTCTGTATATGGTGAAATGTGATGTTAATATCAAATAGCAGGATTTAAAATAAAGAACGTATTTAAATAATTACCTAACAGAAATACCAACATTAAGTAAATAACAAAATCTTCGTCTTCGCTGCTATAAAACGGAAATTTCATTACAGACATTGCAATTAAAACTAATTTAACTTAAATTAGAAATAGCGGCAGTTGCAATCCGTTGATACACCACGAGCCCGTGACCAATTTGCTTCAGAATAAAATTTATTCAACATAGATTTAAAATAAATCATATCTATTACATTTCTTCTTAGAAAGGAAGAAATTGAACTGTCTAATAAAACTGGCAGGCACGTTGTCGCCTATCTGTGGTGAACGCGCATTAATTATTTTATTCATTACCCTATTAATATTCTCGAAGCGTGTGAAATTTCACATAGTAATGTTGAGGAATTGCACGAAGAGACGTATTAGAGAAATTAATTTAGATTAGGGCTGGTAAATGCTCGAGAATTTATTAAGATTAATTGAACGAGAATGTGCTTCAATTAGGAGACCCATATTTTTTCTTCTTCCACTAAAAAGATATTTTTTATATGAGTGTCGTGAGCGTAATTAATTATCTATACAAAATCGTACATCTATAGTCGACTCAATTAATTACCTTGAAGTTGGTGACACCTTCGCCGACCTGCTCGATCTCTCCGGCGCATTCGAAGCCGAGGATGAAAGGTGTCTTGGGGGGCGAGTCGATAGCTCCCTGTCGCACAATCAGGTCTTGGAAGTTCAGACCACTGGAACCAGTAAATAAACGTTAGCACACTTCAGAATTTATTAATAGTATTGTAATGAATGAATTCTTAAGTTTTATCAAGAATATATCGCTTAAACAGAGATTTAAAAACGTAGAAAAAACTTAGAACTAATTGGAATCTGTCGGCCATTAGATTTCATTCTAGTTAGTATAAAAACAGCAAGTTAAGTTAGACAACGGCATTACAAATCAAATGTCTCAATCAATCCTGTTGAAACACGGACTAGAGCAATCGACCGAAACCGTACCTACAATTTGATTTTATTAATCTTTCTCAAGTAATCATTCTTCAAGTTTATCGTGGCGAACGATATCAATAAACAAGTGCGTAGGTAGTTACTTAATTAAATGACTCGGGACTGGAATGCGGTAGCCGTTTGTTATTATGTTCTATAACGCGCGTACAGAATAAAGAAGCCCGCATTTGAATTTTAAACGTGTTGACGAATCAATCAATATGAATATGGCAGGACCCGCCGAGGTTGCCTCACTATTGTTATACATAAAGGACTCAATAATTTAGGTTAATTCAAGTCACTGCTCGCTCTCAATGTCAGATTGGTGGTACATACATTGCCACAGTGGTGTTCAAAAGAAAAATGCTTGAGTTCATCACTGAAAGCTCCATTTTACGAGGTCTAACATCTGGACGAAAGATGAATGGTTAATGGAATGGGCCATAAAGATAGTTTGAGAATACAGAACCACATTGTACGTCACCATATTCGATGAAACGAAAACTTCTCTAAGCATAATCGTAAAAATCGTTGATATTTTGTTCTACTTTAGAATTAAGCCTACGACATTGTGACTTGTTCAAACAAAATAAAAATTAAAAGCAATGGTTTAGTAAATATTTTGTTTCATTACAATTGGGTATAGAATTAAACCCTGTCATAATCATACAATAATATGTTACACGTCTAACAGATTTAAATAACAGTTGGTTGGTTAACTGGCAAAATAATTCGGGAGGATACGCGATACAAACACGTGTTACAATATTGCAAGCCGCCACACTGTTCCAGCCACTGCGGGCGTTCTACCTACTCGTCCCTGATCGATATGTTTCGATGGTCTCTCCCTGAAGTACTAGCTCAGTCTATACCTATGTAATGTACATATATTGTACTACGTAGCTATGTACATAGCCATTTTATTTAGACACGTTTCTACCATGTAGCTTTGGCTTTTTAATAAATTAGGTACCTACTATGTTGTTACAGTACTCAGTCTGATTGGTTCGTCGATTTTGTTCAAGTTTTAGATAAGTAGTTGATGATTTGTTCCTAATCAGCTCAAGCTGCTTAAACCATTTCTTCAGTAGTATTAAAAATGTGATAAAATGTCAAAGTTAAGCGCACCCCTTTAACAACTGTTTATTGTTGGGCCATTGTACAATTTACAGTCAAAAGCAATAAACGTCTGACGTGTTAAAACAACGAAATGCTTGATTTTCCAAAGCCTATTATGCTTACGACTAAACAAGGAAATGCCATTGGTTGGCTAATAGTACTCCAAAAATATCCATAGCGTACTAAATACAACAAACAATGAAAGCTGGAAAACTCCGAACTCGTATTACGAGCAACGTTTACGTAGCAACAGCGTTACGTGGTTACAAAGGTTTCACATGTAAGTACGTGATTGAACACAGTCTTAATTTAACTTATTGTTTTGAATCAATTTTGTTGATTATATCAAACTGCATTGTGGGCACCGTGTACCTACACGCGAACCCTAGGTAATTTAGTATTTAGTGCCTCCCCTGTCTGGATCCCTCCAGTATTTCCATGAGTCACCGTCTACCCCATTCCCGGTATTGATGCATTGTGGTGAAAGCGGAAATTCGATATCATTTGTCATCGGCGCCGGGCGGGAAACTTAACTGCCCGTAAATCGCAAACTAAGCTCATTATACTCTTTACATAGTACTTAGTATTTGTTTAGTCAGACGATACGTCATTTTCTCAATCTTCCCTAAATAGTCCGAATTTTACTTATCTGGATATCAACCAATAGGTACCGCCAATATCACTACATAGAATAACACAGTCGCTTGATCTGTCCATATATCCCTATGATGTATGCTTAAATCTTTAAAACTACGCAATAGATTTTGATGCGTTTTTGTTTTAATAGATGGAGTGATTGAAGAGTAGGTACGATTTATTTGTATAATAATAGCATCCATTAACATGATAATTTACAATGGAATCATCAGCTCCAAGACTAGTCGGAAGCGTAGTAACCTATTATGTAAATGTATGTACAAGTGATTTGAAGTTATGGGTTGAGGAGGCGCAAATATTGTAACCAATGTCTGCGATTACATCCACGCTATGAAAATTATATAAGTTACGGCCTTTCACACTGCCTCCGTAAATAAATCTATATTGTCCTGAAAGGGTACCTAATGGCATAGTTCGCTATCAATCGCAGACTATCTATTATGAAGTCCTCCTCAGAAATGACTTAGTTATTTATATAATATAACAAATAAGCAAATTAATCATATCGGTGAATAATTACACTATAAATATTACGCCTTTGTTAAAATATCAAGTGATGATTCATTCGCGTCCTTTACATTCGTACGCAACGTAAATTGTGTTCACGCATGAGGAGTTGAAGAAAAATGTTATATTGCCCCTACCATGTCATATGATATTAATGCACTTGTATTGTGTAAGCCTCTAATTCGGGTAATTACTGCGACATGGGAGTCCAATGAGTCGCAAGTCGCCACGGTGTCGGCTGTCGCACCGTCGCACGGCTGTCACCCGCATACGTTTTATTGGGTAAATTGGGCGCGGGCACTACGCTTTTATTATAGAATAAGCTTTGTACATTGGTCCTTCATAGGCGACGATCCTGGGACCCAAGGGTCGGAATGTTAATCTGAGATTATCTCCAAAGAGTCTCGTATCGAATTTTACGCACGCTACCTGCCGCTACGCTTATTCACCGATTATATTGAATGGCTTCCTCCAACAACACGACATTCGCAGGTAGTAGACAAGTTTTTGTAGACGCGTGCATTATTTCTTAATAAATAATGCCAATTCTACGTTTATGACGATTAGCTATTCCCTTGTGGAGCATTCGGGCGTCGCTGAACGTCAAGCGTTTAAAGTTATCAAGGTTTCATTTGTTACACAGTACTAAAGCTCGTAGTTACCGCATTAGGGGTGGTTGACACTTGAATAAATTATTATGTCGAACATTGTTTCCAAGTGTTGTTGCCAGTCGCGTGCTTCAGACTCCTTATGTCAAGGCCCCGAGGTCGATAACAACGACGTCGTCGCACAGCCGAAAGGCCAGACTGCGAGTCATCAACCCTGCCCTCCTTCGATTATCTTAATTATAGAGCCGTTTCCACAATTTGAAGATAAAAGGGTTAACAATGAATGTTAACTTAAATAGCTTTAGGTATCGCATGAGTCACGTAAGTAATAAGTACCTATCAACCTAACTAATGAAGTGGGTGTTAAAAAAATCAATCTTGATTTTAAAGCCCATCCTAAGGATTATTTAACTTACATCGGGAAGTAGGTGCCTGGTAATGAAATATCATAATAAATTACGAAGTTGCCAGCGACACCGCACCGGTGCGGTAACTCCTGCGTCAATTAATTGGATCACGTACAAGTTCAGGATTACTCAAAGGGTCTTCAGTATTCGCGCGTACACAACCCCAGCAAAGTGCTAATACGATTAATGCGTTGCGTTGCATACAATTTCTATTCACGCAATTCAAATAACTTCACGGTTTATTGAACACAAGCAGAATGATATGTCGAGAATAATTTTGAATATGTTATTATTTGCGTCGCCGTTCGCCCCCTCACGTGTTCACAATCATTTAGAATGGACATTAAAATGAACGAATGAACACCCTCGGCACGGGGTAATTTTAAAATTGCATCGGGGTTGTATGACGCGACCGGCCGGCGGCGGCGGCGGGCGGCGGCTTCAGGCGTCGGGTCGCCGAGCGGCGTCACCGCGACGCGCCTGTGGAAAATCTACATCGTACTAAATACCTATACAGTATGTACTATACCGCCTAGGGAAAGTTTTGCCATAAGAAATGCTTGATCATTAAAACGTCTGGCAACCGTAGCACGTCTAGACAGTTATTTTATCAGTGAAGAGAGAAAGCACTCATCGATTTCGTCCTGACTTGCGGATGCTTCAATAAACTGTAATGTGGGTAGACGTTGAAGCGGGACGAAGTTAATAAAATACTTGTTCCAATCTGCAACGTTTCGTGGCGCGTTCACTTCGGTGGAGGAACTTGCACAAGTCGGATGTCGGGCGTCACGTCCCATTACACTTCGGCGAAATCCACGCCGCGCGCACTTAACTTACATCAACGAATTTGTCTTTCTGAACTTTGCACTTTCATTTTCATCGTGCGACAGTGAAAATAGCCGAACCGTATCGATCACTTGCACTGTCTATTTCATTCTTTGTTTATCTTTATCTTTTCTGTTTTAAGATTTATTTATTTCCAAATTTGAGAGCTTTAGTTTCAAATGAAAGATTTATTCTGTACAAAGTTATATCACCTACCTAAACCAAAACTTCACTAGTTTATTAATTAATAGTCAAAATAGGTACTTCAAACAAACGGTAGTTAAGAATCATCTATGAATAACACAATAACTTCCTTCCTGTATAAATAAATGTATTGGCTGCCAGAAAAACCGCAATTTTCAACATTACCGGAGTTAAACGATTGATCATTGAACAACACAATAGCTACAATTTAATAACAAAGTAAGTTCCTGTGAAGTCTAGCGTGTTATCAAAACATCAAAGGACATAAAACCACGTACAGTCGATTCGTCAGCGTCTAGCATTTCCTACGAAAAGTTGAGAGCGCGCGAACATCATTGTAATTCAGCGTATGTACTCGCGTATAAGTTAGAACTCTCCTTCCGTCCGCGCTCATGTTTCATGTACGGAACGTGTTCC